CGTGCTGGGGCTGGTGAGCCTGGTGGAGAACCTGCTGGTGGTGGCTGCCATCCTGAAGAACAGGAACCTGCACTCGCCCACGTACTACTTCATCTGCTGCCTGGCCGTCTCGGACATGCTGGTGAGCATCAGCAACCTGGCGGAGACATTCTTCCTGCTGCTGCTGGAGCACGGCGTGCTGGTGGTCCGCGCCAGCGTCGTCCGCCACATGGACAACGTCATCGACCTGCTCATCTGCGGGTCCGTCGTGTCCTCCCTCTCCTTCCTGGGGGTCATCGCCGTGGACCGCTACATCACCATCTTCTACGCCCTGCGCTACCACAGCATCATGACTCTGCAACGGGCTGTGGTGACCATGGTCAGCGTCTGGCTGGCCAGCACCGTCGCCAGCACCGTCTTTGTCACCTACTACCGCAGCAACGCCATCCTCCTCTGCCTCATCAGCTTCTTCCTCTTCATGCTGGTCCTCATGCTGGTGCTCTACATCCACATGTTTGCCTTGGCCCGTCACCACCTCCGCAGCATCTCCAGCCAGCAGAAGCAACCCACCGTCTACCGCAGCAGCAGCCTGAAGGGAGCTGTCACGCTCACCATCCTCTTGGGTGTCTTCTTCATCTGCTGGGGGCCTTTCTTCTTCCACCTCATCCTCATCGTCACCTGCCCCACCAACCCTTTCTGCACCTGCTTCTTCAGTTACTTCAACCTCTTCCACATCCTCATCATCTGTAATTCGGTGATTGACCCTCTTATCTACGCCTTCCGGAGCCGGGAACTCCGACGGACGCTGCGGGAGGTTATGTTGTGCTCTTGGTAGGACAACGGGATGGCTGGTAACGGCTCGGATGGACGGACGGACAGATGGGATGCACCGTGGAGTGTGTGTGTGTCCCCCCTCCCCCTTTCCGATGCCCCAATTTGGGCTCGTGGTACCCAATAAAGGCTCTTTGCAGTGATGCCGTGGCTCCCCCGGGAGGGGTCTGGCCCTTCCCGGTCCCACCGTCTACTCAAAACTCAATCGCTCCCTGTTGCCGTTGTTGTGGACAGGGACGGGGGGGGCGGGGGGACCG